AAAAAGTTTCCTGTGGAGCACTCGCCAGCGGGGGCGGGGGCGGGGGCGGCGGGCGCAGCAGTAGACGTGGGAGGGGGCGAGAGGGCGGGGGAAGGCCGCGAGGGGCCGGCTCGCAAACCGTTATAGTCCTTCAGCACCTCCCTCGGCCGGTGGCCCCCATAGCCTGCCTCCCCGCCGCGCAGCTGCCCACCTGGCGACGTGACGCTGCACCAATCCCCTTCGAGCTGCTCCCGGGGGCCCCTCTTCTTGCACCGCCCCCCTCCCCACCCTGAAAGAGGCGCACCCTGCCGGGGCAGACACTGCACTCTCGCCGCGGAGCACCCCTCTAGCTTCTTCAACTCCCGGACGGCCGCTCAGGCTCTTCTCTCGCCTTAGCCAAACTTGCTTTCCCGCCTCGCAAACTCAGGCTTCCCTCCACTCCCAGCTCTTTCCCTCCACTTTCACCTCCTCTTTCTCCCACGCCACAAACCCCGATCCCCGACTACTCTCTTCCACCCTCTTCCTTCCCTTCTCCCCCCCCTTAAACTCCGCGTCCACCCGCACACGCCCAACTCGGTCGCCCGCTCCCGTTCAGCCCGGCTCGAAGCCATGGCGGGACCTGGGGGCTGGAGAGACAAGGAGGTCACGGATCTGGGCCACTTGCCGGTGAGTAACGGACGCCCGTCGCCCCCAAGTGCGACCTTTCTGTGGGTTCTGAGCACCAGGGGAGAAGGCGGACGCTCTCAAGCCGGGCTAGGCCAGGACTTCGACGGGTCCTGCGGGCGCGGGAGGGGACGCCAGGAACCAGTGAGTGGAAAAGGCGCCCCCTGGGCACGGGGGCCGCGCCAAATTTCACGGAAAGGCAAAGGAATGGGATGGCGAGGGGAGGGGGGAGAGAAGAGGCGGCTTTGGGGTGCTGAGGACCCTAAACAGCAGGACATTTTCTAATCTGGCTCTCCTTATCTAGCGGAGCTCTGGTACCTGTCCTAGCGGGGCTCCAGGAAAGGCCAAAAAGCGCGACGTCGCGTCCCTGTTACCCCGCCGCCCTGTCGTTTGCTTCTTTTGCCAGCGGAGATGACTACTTGCTGGTGGCCTTTACTTTTAGGCGACGATGGGCTAGAAAATTAAAGCGGTGGAGTTTTACTTCTCTCACATTCTAATAGAACTTTCTAAATCCTTCTTATTCTTGCCAGGGACATGTTCCCAATTTAATGTGGCGGGAGCGAAAGAACTCGACGCCGTTTGGGGAAGAAGTGAATTCTGCACACCCCAATTAGAAAAGCATTGCACTCCCTATCTAACCAGATTTAGCTTTTTCAACTGGTTTTCGTTTGTGTGTTCTCCTTTTCCCGAATGCCCATTTTTCTTCCAGAGTTTGTAATTGATTGGTGAGCTATTATCGCCATTGTTATTAGTAGACTTATTATTTTAGTAGCGCCATTTATTTCATTGGCATCTGGTTTCTGGCTGATATTGGATCCTACCCAAATCCGTTTTTCAAGTTCCCTTTTTAGATTGGCATTTCACTCGCACCCTCTCTTGAATGCAAAGGGGCCCTGGACTCTCCAAAAGGGAATAAGCAGGCACCGTGCTGGAATGATCTCCAGGCAACTGTAGTTGAGGGCAGTGGCCTGCTTGCTTTGTGAAAAGCTAAATATTAACCTTAAGGTTATAGGACTATTCAAAGTCGCAATGAATATTTGACACTTAAATATGTGTTATTGATGGTGTGACAGACACCTGCTCCCCTCAAAAATGGGGCATTCCCAAAGCCTTGCCTATGTAATTTTACACTAGAATGGTGTATATGGGGAGGAGAGGTGATGCACATGGGTAACATTTTAGCAAAGTGTTCTCAGCCATTAAAAAAAAAAAAAACTCAATAAAAAACATTTTGAATTACAGATAGCATTGTGATTATTGATACGGCTTCATAAAATAAGGTCACAGAACTTTTTAAAATTAAATCTTTTTCCACCCCGCATGCACCCAGCATTCCTTCCTTTTGTGTGAATATGTAAGATTTCTGGTATATGGAGGCCTCAACTGTTGGTGGTTACCTTTCTGAACAGAATTTCATATACAGACTAGATTTGCTACCAAGCAAAAGTGTAAAACTAATAAATGAAATGTTACCTTCCTTCAACATTCTCTGTGTATAGTGGGGGAAAGGAAAAAAAATAGAAAGAAAGAAAAGAAAAGCAAAAAGCAAACTAGGGCAAATATATGGAACTACATATAGTACATATAGGCAAACTGTAATAAACTCCTCTCTAAAAATGACTAAAGAGAAGAATGAGAAAGACCTCATAGAAAAGATAGGGCTGGGGTTCCAAACCCAAGGAGAAAGCTAAAAAAAGGTTTTATTGCCAATAAAAAAAAATGGGGGGAAATGGTCCAGGCTAACTTACCTGGCGGACATAAGAATTTAATGACTGCCCAGGAGGTAAGCAGCGGGAAGGCTGCAATCTTTACATTGCAATTCAATGGAATATTAGTTTTCTGGGGAGTGGGGGAGAAGGCGTACATGGGGAGAGGAGAAAGGTGAGTGGTTTTTAATGTAGGGAGAGTAGGGGAAAGTCACAAATCCTCAGGAAACTGATGCTTGGCCTCATTTTACAGACTGTATGAAAGTCACATAAAGTCCTCAGGTTCTAACAATTTCTAAATTTCCTACAGGAGCCATTTTGTCTCATGTGAAGATTTTCACAATCTGAGCATTTATACATAACTCTCCCCAAACACACAGATCCAAACCCTAAGAAATCTAACAGAGGGGCAGCACACCCTTTAGAATTTCTTTTAATGTCAAATATTTGGAGATTCGAAAATCATTGTTGCTTTAGTCACAGAGGTATATTTTAGTGATTTGGGATTTCTTTATATTGCTTATTTCCTTAACATTTGAAGAACTAAAAGTAAATGAAAAGGTGAGGAGACATCTAAGTCAGCTGTGAAGTTTGCATTTTGATGCAAAGTAGAGATGATAAAGCAAGCAAAGAAACCTGCATATGGGTGTATCCCTTGCAATAATTATACTCAATAAGACATATATGAAGATCGGAAATTTGGCATCTGTCAATACCAAATATACCAATTTGAGAACAACCAAATAATGAGAGATTCAAACCTTGGATTTTCAAATTGAGCAAAAACAATCTTGTGGAGTACAGAAGAGTAATTAAATATGGGTCTAGTTTAAGATTGATGCATTATGTCCTTTGTAGGGCTGCTAAAATGTCCACAAGACAAAGACTGTTGAGAGAGGACAGGCTTGCTGTGCAAATTGGGATTTAAAGAAAGTGGCGGAAGATAATTCGGTATTTTTGTTACTAGATAGATATTAATTTTAAACCTAAAATAGTAAGCAAGAGTGAAAGCTGGGGTGGTAGAAAAGTAGAAATAATTATATAACTTTTAAAATGAAGAAAATTTAACCTTTATATAATTAAAAAACTTTTTTGCATAATGCCCTTAAGTTAGAGACAAAATAAGAAAGCCAGTGTAATTACCAGCAAATAGTATATCAACTCAATTATGTTTGTTAATTAATAGGTTACAGTAATTTTTCCTGATTTTCTATTGAATAAATATTTTCTATAGGTTAGAAAACAAAAATGAAAGCGCAAAGATTTTTGGTTTGTGTTTCCTATTTGAAAAGAGACTTACAAAGGCTTATGTCTTTATACATATCTTTGTAAAATGTATGTATTTTTTCCTCCTTGCCTGCCAGCAATTCCCGCGCTTGTGCCTATCTATCTATCTTTTTTTTCTTTTTTTCTAGTATGTCTGCATCACTCAGTCCTTGGGACTGGCAACTATTTCTTCATCTCCAAATCTGGCATGTCTTTCACTATGATTGTCCTTTTGCCTTCTGTGCCCAGTACGGCTGAGGCCTTGGTATTTGACACTGCCATGTGTAGTCCTAATCTATATTGGGGTCAGGATTAGACAGGCCTTGAGGACAGTAGTGGCAGAGGTGATCTGAAATAGCACATGATACCAAAACTATATTTGAATTACATTAGTTTTATATTTAAATATAACTGCCAGCTCTCCCAGTCTCCCACCATCGAAACCAAGCCTGCTTTCCACATTCAGTCATGAGAAACTTCCCTCTTTATCAAGTCCCTTAAGTGCCCTATTCAGAAGTAGTTTTACCTTCAAGTCTACGGGGATTGAAATATTCAGTATATCCTTAATCACATATAGAGCATCACCTCAGCATGACATTTTACTTCAATTTATTTTCTCAGTCTTTTTTTTTTTTTTTTTTCCAGTTTCTAGAGCAGCGGTTTTCATATGTTAATGCACAAGAGTAAATCATCTGGAGATTTTGTGGACCCTCCCCTGAAATTCTGATTTTTGTAATTCCATGAGATGCCCAAGGAATCTGTATTTTTAAGAAAATTCCCCAGATGATTTTCATGTAAAATGAGACTACGCACTCCATAGTTTGAGAAGCACTGGTCTAGGGGAAGAAATTTATTTTTATACTCTCAACACTCCATTTGAATTATGAAGCCCATTCCTCCAACTATCTCTGAAATTCACTCTGGCACTTATCTTGTCATATCCACCATTTTCAGATTTTTTTCTCCATAAGCCTTTTTAATAAAATTGCTGTTTCTAATATTAAAAATAAAAGAAAAAGGAAAGCCTTTGCTCTCTCCTTCTAGGTACTGTGCAATCTCTTTCCTTCCTTTTGCTGCATGACTATTGGGACACATCTCCTCACTCTCCTTCACTATCCTAAATTTGAAATGTCTTGTTACTCATGTTGACCATTTATTTGTTCCCTTTTCTCCTTAATCTCTGCCATACTTGGTTTTGTTGATCAGCCTCTGCTTTGAAAGTCTGTCCCTTCACCAGTAAACACTGCCTTCTAGTGGTTCTTTTTCTTCCTGTTGCCCCCACCCCAGGCCCTTATTAAAATTAGCCATCAAGGTGCTCATTCTTTCCCCCTCCCTTTGAATTCAGAAGACAAAAGCAGAGCCCCAAATTCTGGGTTTCAGGGGGCAGCCAACTAGGGCTTTTAAATTACAAGAAATAATTTAGATACGTAGAAAGATACAACAAAAATATAAAGTATTTGTCTAACAATATATGATTCAAAAATATTTTAAAACTTAGATTTTTTAGTAATTTTGTTTGAGAAAAGCTTCAGAAGAAAGAATTTCTTCTTTACTGACCACTTTGTTTACCCAAATGGGACACCAAAGCATGCCAAATCCTCAAATAGTCTCCAAATTGATATAGCAGTCATAGATACAAGTGTCTTTCCTCTTGTGGTTTTCTTATCTCGGGGTAACAGGGCAGAGGAGAGGACCAGGTAAATATGGAGGCCCTTCTACTGTGGACCTCTTGGTCACAGTGACCAAGAAAAGCATTTTCTTTTAATGCTTCCTTCCTTGAGTGCCCAGAAAAACTTGCTCTAAATGGAAAACATTATATAAGAAATAGTGTATTATTATCCTAGTAATTAGCGTAGTCCCTCCCTTCATTTTCCCCCAATTTAACAATCATTTAGTCTTGAAAGATAGCATGTAGATGGTGAACAAAAAATATTACATAAAGCTAATGAAAACTATATATAGTCTTAGAATACAGGCATATTAAGTTGAGCTGCCTTTAAGAAAAAAGGAGTTTAAAAAACGTTCTTTTATTAATTGTGAGCATAAAGAGAATTAAAATGGTTTGGTCATTTGCGAGCAGAAAAATGTTTCCTGACAACATGAATATAAATAAAATAAAGCCTCCATGAATTTCCACAGGCGTTTTGTTATCCCAGTCTATTTCCTTGGGGTCGCTTTTGAGTAATGAGATACCCAAGTTCAAATCTGAGCAAGGTACTGATGTTATTGAGGGCTAGGAAAAGGATTAAAGAAATTTAAGACTGTTTGTGCTCAGAGATTCAGAAATAAAGTTTGTACAGACGATGCAGTCACTTTCTTATATATGGTATCTTTTCCAGCTAAAATGCAGCCTTAACTGTAACAAAGAATGGTGTACCAGTAGGAATTAGCTAACATATTTGATTCTTTTGACAGATGGCCAGAGGCTGTTTCTCCAGAATTAATCATGTCTAAAAATGAATCCCTCTATGATATTCTTCAAAAAAATATGCTGAAGTGATAAAGTCTTCGAGCTTGTCATAAGTAACTTTTTTCCATAAATCTTTCAATGGTGATAACAAAAGTGATACATTTAATGTCAAGGGCACTATAAAAATCTATTTTTACTTCTTGAATCCTAAAAATTGTCTTTTTAAATAACTTTTACATTTTCTTTGGGAGTATGTGACGTTAATTTTGATGATCATTTTGAGAAAGTGGGCTGCTGCTTTGTCTAACAGTGGTTGTATCAATCCTGTGGAAATATCTGTATTTTAGAATGGTAGAATTTGACTTTTTTCTGTAGAATTTTAGAGCTGGGAAATCACCTAAAACAACACCTTAATTTTATGTATGTGAAAACTGAACGCCAGAGAGAGTAAATAACTTAACTGGAGTCATATAGTTAATTAATGGCAGAGCTGGGGCTGAAACTGAAGCCTCCTGACTCTGTCCAGTTGAATATTTGTTGACTGAAGTAATCCCAGGGCTATGTCATTCTCCTATGACAGTTTTGCTAGATTACACAAATATCACACCCATTTAAAAAAGTCTATAATTTTATTCATATATGTTGCATATACTCAGTAGTTTTTCTGTTTTGCTCACATTTGTCACAATGATAAAAATGTTTTCAAATAGTATTAAAATTTGTGTGTCTAAAATGTGCTTTCTATAAGGCATGTGAATTTCCAGGAATTTGCCAATGTCCTACCATTTTGTGTATAAATTGGCATCTACTCATGCCTCATTTAAGTTTTGCTAAAATAGCAAAATAGACTATTAGACTAAAAGTTCAAGCAGTGATAAAATTCAAGAAACCATGTTTTGTGGTGAACAAGAAAGGAATAGCCATATCTAAAGGTAAGGAAACAATGCTTGAGGGTGAAAATGGAAGCCTTAGGACTCTATCTCTAAACATGTTATGTTTTGTTTCCTATGATGCCACATTTAGTCTTAAGTCACTGAAAATATCAGTTTGCTCCATGAAAAAGTATTCAGCTGATACAAAGATTAACTTTAGAAAAAAAAAAAAACTGTCTAGTTTTTTAAAAATGACTTTGCTTTGTTATTCATATTTAAAATGGTATTTTTTTCTTAAGAGTTGCTATAGTACAAATACATTGTCTAGATTTTTGTATCCAATATCTAGTCATCATTGCTGTATGTTAAACTTTCCTGTTTGGTCAGCACTCAGAAGATGGGTATTAAGAGAGAACTTCAAAAGCAAGTAAATGAACTCATTTCTATTTTAATTATTTTTCTAATTATGTCATGAATATTCCTCAGCTTTACATAATTGTGTGCATTTTACAGTTTTATGATAACTTAATTACACAACTACTTAATGTCCATATAATTGTTTCTTTTTTATAAATGACTGTACTCAGTCCAGGGAGATTGTGACATGTCTATCTTCTTTTGGTAAATGACACAGGGTCTTCCCATGTAAATTCTAAGGAAACAAGGCAGTTTGGAAATACCATGTAAGGTAATTAAATGCCTATTTTCCCGCGAAGATTGACAGTTTTGTTCTACTTTTTTTCAGGATCCGACTGGAATATTTTCACTAGATAAAACAATTGGCCTTGGTACTTATGGCAGAATCTATTTGGTAAGTGGAGTTAGATTATTTGTTTTCTAATAACAACAATAATTGTGAGTCGAAACCCCACACTGCAAATCAAATAATTCCAAGACATAGCATTTCACTTTGAGTGATAAATCAAGTTAAAATTAAGATAGCTCAGTGAATCTACAGTAAATCAACCAACCAAAGATAAGACCTATAAGTTATAAGCAGAAAATTTAAAAAGTCACCAATGGAAAAGGAAACTAATTCAAATAAGATGTATCTAAATAAAAATATCATTTGGTTTATATTATACATCTATACTATTCTAATTACTCATATTCAACTTTAAACTGAATGTTATAAAAAATAAAGTTTTCATAACATTCTGTATCATATTGCGTACATGAGTGTGCATATGTGTGATAAAGTTTGCTGAAGAATCTAACAAGAAAAATTCTGCAATTATTTAATGATTATATATTAAGCAATAAGTATGTGTCAGGCTCTGTGACAGTCTCTGGGGGATAAAGTGATAAACAAAACAGACAAGGTTCCTGCTCTTATGGGGCTTGTGGTCTAGAGATGTATAAGTGATTAAGTGTGTGCAGGTGGGGGGAGGGGGGTTGGGGGACCTACATATATGACATAAGTACACAAATAACTGTATAATTTCGGTTGTAATATGTGATCTGTAAGAAAATTCCTCATGATATAAATGTAATATGAACTCCTAGTGATACAAAAAAGGGGGGCTTAATTTACATCAAAGTGTCAGTGTTGACCTCTCAGTCCCTGGAAAATGACAGTTAAACTGATACCAGGAGAATAAATATGAGGTGACCAATAAAAGTGGGGTTGTGGAAGATGATGTTAATGCATTCTAGGTAGAGGCAGGGTCAGTGTTGAGGGCTGGATGAGGGATGGAGGTGCTTTAATAGCCCTATCACCTTGGTCAGGTACCCTTGCCCCACTCTCTAATATAGGGAATTAACATTTTTCTCAATATTATATGAGTTTCTATAAAATGCAGTATTCCTCTTTCCCAGTCCTGTCCCTCAGAATCCAGAATACTGTCCCTAGGCTGATCACAGATTACTGTAGAATGATCACACGTTCTCTAAATATGGGTTGTGTAGAGGTGTCCTGGTAAAGGTTCAGACAAGGGTGACCTCTGCTTGCTAAACCTTGCAACTTTGGGGCTACATCTGCCCGAAGGGGCTGCTTTTCTAATTCTTCTACCCAGGTTGGAGTGGGGACATGCTTTTAAAACTTTGCACAAATGTGCCTGTAGCATAGAAGTTGAATAGTAGGAATAGCATGTGGACAGGTCCTAAAAGCAGAAAGAACCTTGGTTAGCATCAGGAACAGAAAGAATGCCAGTATTCATGACAAAATTTTTTCAAACTGTTTTGACCTTACCCACTAACATAACCAATAAACTATAGACAGTGACATGATACAGACCCAAATATATTATTTATGCTACCTCAATTGAATCCCATACTGAATAATTGGTTAACATTTGTGTAATCTAGATCAGTTTTCCCACCTTATATACAAATACTTACACCTTATACATAGAAGCAGTTTCTCTTCTTTATGACGCATTTACAGTCTCTATGGCTCTGTACACATTTTAACTCGTGAGGGGCGTGTGTGTATGTATACTTCTGATTTAAAGGTGTAGAACCTTCTCTGCCACCAGATGTTAGAAATAAAAACCTTAGAGTCATGTAAGGTAAGAAGCAAAGATAAGATTAAACAACACAAACAGATGATGTCTCATCATCATTCATCAGAAGTGTGATGCTATCAAAAGAAGAAAATTCAAGAGGCTAAATAAAAAGGTAAGTTGTGCATGAGAGCTCCCTTTTTTAAAACTCAGAGTTTACTGAGGTGTAGTATATATTTGGTAAAATTCACTCTTTCTAAAGTGTACAGTTTTAATGGTTTGGACAAGCACACAGAGTCATATAACTACCACCACAGTCAAGATTTTAAACATACATCTTAAATTAATCACAATGTTCAAGGGATATTCTACTGCTTCACTGTGTGGTGTCCCAACAGGTGTGCTATAGTTATGATTGTCACACATTTTCTTTTACATGTGATATAAACCCACAATGTTACTGTACTTCTTTCCTATACTCACTCTTTTCCTTATACTCACTATGACTATTTTTTATTTAGATAGCCAGTGATCTTTTAGATCAATTAAAAATAAGGAAAAAGTCCGTTATATTAATATCATTGTAGCCATTTCTGGAATCTTAATTTCTTGGGGTAGATCCAAGTTTCTGTCTGGTATAAAGAACTTAAGACTGAAGAACTTCCTCTAACATTTCTTGTAGTCCAGGGCTTCTGGTAATTAATTATCCGCCTTTGTGTGAAAAGTATTTCTCCTTTATTTTTTGAAAGATATTTACACTGGGTATAGAATTATGGGTTGACAATTGTTTTTTCTCTCATCCCTTTAAATATGCCATTCCACTGTCCCCTGGTTTGCATAGTTTCTGAAGTCTGCAGCACTGATCTTTGCTCCTTTGTATTTTTCCTCCCCTAGTGATATACTGCTAATGCGTTTCATTATGTGCTTTTTATCCTGGTGATGTAGGTGCAGGGAGGAGTTCTCTGTTTTTCTGATTCAACCTCAGCTCAGTCTTAGCAGATCTTATGGCTCTGGGTCATGAGAGTGAGACTTTCTTAGTTATCCTGCTCCTCTCTTAATGGTAAGACACTTCTAATTGTTTGGGCCCAGAACTAATTATTGCCCTCCGCCAGAAGTAGAAGGCATTATTATTTTTTATTTTTTTTATTTTTTTACATTTGCCCAGTTGCAGTAGGTCTTTATCTGTACTCTGGGGGGAATAGGGTTTGCTGCCCTTCCCCTAGGGCTTAAGACATTTATTCATTACGGGGAAAGGAACTGGACTTGGTTTTGTGCCTTTTCTACTGTGTACCTTCTCCTCTCTACTAGGTCTGTACCATAAATCTGTGGAGAAGAGCCCATTAGTGTATGTAAATTCTTGTGTCTGCAGCTCCCAGGTGTTCTATACTCTCATGCTAGCGCACTCTTGGCCGTTAGTAATTAATTGAAAAGATTAGCTGAATTCTTTATACTGCCTCTATGGTGACCTTGTCTTCCCCCTGCAGCCACAAATGAGCCAGTGCTCATGTCCTGGCTCTCCTTGTGGGTGCTTGTTTTTCTTCAGACTTTGGGTTATTTGGTTGCCTTCGGACTTCTCTCTGGATTCAAGAAAAGTTATGATTTTGTAGATTATTCAGCTTTTTCTTGTTGTTAGGGTGGGAGTGGCATTCTTTCTAGCTTTCATATCCTCATCAGAAGTGAGAAGCCCAGGTCAATTCCTCTTAACTGAATCTTCATGAAGCATCTACCATATGCTAGGTCCTGTACACATTTAAGATTCCTAAGAATTTTATGTGTACCTATGCAGATCCAGGGATAGAGAATTCTTTCTACTGTCAGATCTTCAAAGTAGAAACCTCTGTGTTATAGAAGGTAGATGCTTACGGTAACTTTATTTACACCAGAAAGATTTTCCTCCGTCACTCATTGATTTGACCTCTTTTACTTCCTCACATTAATTTCTTTCTGTAAAAAGGCTTGGGATATTGGCACTGTACGTTAACACCACCCGTGTGGAAAACAATCTATAGTATGTAATAAATGCTTTTAAAATGTTCATCCTCTTTACACCAATAATTCCACTTTTTGAAATCTAAGATTAACATCCCAGATACAGAAAAAGCATACAGATATTCACTGCAGCAGAAAGGTAGTATATTGTAGTGAAAAGAGGGCCTGCTTTTTTTTTTTTTTTTGTCTTTTTTGTCTTTTTTCCGTGTCCGGCAACGGATCGCAACCCTCAGTGTTGCCCCCGTACCGGACCGGGGACCGGCAACGGGATCGCAAGCCTCGGTGTTGCTCCCGCGCCTCGCTCAGCCAGTGAGCGGGAGCCGGTCTGTATGTGGGATCCGAACCCTCGGATGGGAGCGCCGCCGCACTTCCCAAGCAGCGCACTATCCAGTGCGCCACCGGGCCAGCAAGAGGGCCTGCTTTGAACCAGGCAGACCTGATTCAGTGTTTAGTTGGTCTTTAATTAGCTGTGACCTTGAGCAAGTCACTTAACCTTTGAGTATAAATTTCCTTATTTATAAAATGGAGCTAATAATACCTATCTTGCAAAATTTGTTAAAATTTAGAAACTATATATATGCTCGACATATGGTATATACCTGTTAAAAAGACAGTTATTGCTTTCGTTGTTGTTGCCATTATTTTTTTAAAAATTCAGCAACACTCTAAATAGTAAAAAGGTAAGATGGAAGTAAATTACTTTATACCCAGTCAATATATCATTCTTCTGTAAAGCAATGGTTATGAAGTTACCTAGCAGTACAGAACTATGCTTAAGATGTTAAGTATTTCTTGTTAAACATATACACTAATTACAGCTACATTAAGACACAGATGAAAACTGATGAATTAAACGGGTAGAATAGTGATTTGGGGTGTTTTTGTTCTATTCTATTTTTTTTCTATTCTTTATTTTCTAATATATATAATGTTATATTATTTAGGTAAAGAACATATGTGCATATTTAACATATATATTATATACATGTATATATATTATATATGGATGTACATATATATATTAGACAGTATCAAATGCTGTATAAATAACCTGTACAACAAAATGGAAGCATGATACTATTAAAAATTAATGTCAGAGTGACTCATAGAGTCCTTTGCTTTTTCAGTACTGCCAACCACATCCCCTGCTGGTGTTTGTTTTGGTTAAAGTCTCTCAAATGTCTTCCAGCTTGTTTCCAAGACTTCGTTGCCTGGCAGGTTTCCAGCTGTCTGCTGAGGTCTGTGCACGTTGAAATGAAGGCTAAGTCGCACACTCCACATTGTAGCCCTTTTTCTTTCCTTTTTCTTCTAATTAGATGCCTATCCTCCCACTCTTTCCTACCTCCTGCTAGTAGAAAACTCAATTGAAATTGTGGGT